ACAAAATCGGAAGCCGCACTCTTTGGCAATTGTCGCGAACAGCAATCTTCTCTGCACACGGACGTAGGCTCTCATTTTCCGTCACTAACCTGATTGATCAAATTTTTTCCAGTGACCTGAGAGCGGTTGACTTGGTTGTGTGCTACAATCCCACAATGGGGTATCCATTGGTGTAACATGAACCTTTCACTCGCTTTTAGAGTAAATCAACTTCCGCATTTTCAAAGACGATCCACTGACTCTCTTTGGAACGGAGCCAGTTATTTCGGTTCGCACCTCAAACGAAAGAAGGGACAGGGAAATACATGCAGGCTAACATTTCTCAGAAACAAAATGAAGCCTTGTCTTTTTTCTGCTCTCAATATTCGCAATCTCTTCCGACAAGCAATCCTTTTTAAAAGAGATTTTCTCGCCATTCGTACTGCCTGTCGCTGATGCGTTGAAGTATGAGCGCACCCCTGTTGAAGTCCAAGATCCGAACAAACTTGAAGGTCAAAAATCAGAGAAGTTCAACCAAGATCCAAACAAACGTGAAGGTCAAAAATCAGAGAAGTTCATCTCAAAGAAGTTTATCTCAAAGTTGATCTCAGAACCACTAAAGTTGATCTCTGGTGCAATAAAAAAAAATGGTCCAATCAAGTTCAGTCGGCGTAAAAATTCTTCCGGAAGCGTGAAAAGTTGTTGGGGGAGTTGAGCGCAGCACTAATGAAATCGATGGCCAAAATTCAAACAAACTTAAGGGGAAAAAATAAAAAAAAAAAGAACTCTTCCTTCGTGCATTGGAAAGGTTCCCTGGAAAGTCGGTGGAGGACGCTCCCGGAAGGCGGCTTTGTGAAATAACCACTCCCATGAAGTTAACTGCAACGCTGGAAATCAACTTGCCCCTCAATGAATCAGAACAAAGAATTCTCTTGGAGAAATCATAGAAAGCAAGTTTCCTGACATGCACAAGATTTCAACAGAAACTCTGCAAGGTCATAACCCCATCAATGGACTGTTCTCACAGTCTGAGTGTTGGAACATACCCACAACCCAAAGACGGCGTTCTACCATTTGGGCTTTCATTTACGTTGTCTTCTAGTTTCTGATCCATGTTCCTTTTTGTTTTTCTTTTATTCATTGTTTAGTTTCTTCAAGTTTGTTTTATTCTTTCTATTTTATGTTGTCTTCTGGATCTTGTGTTTATTGTTATTATTTTATCCACAAGTCTTCAAACTCTCAAATAAATCGTTAACAAGTTCTTCATTAGTATCTTCGTCTTATTAGCTTTTTAAACTCTTTAGCAAAATCCTGTCAGACGCAAACACCAACGTACAAAGTTGGCGACGTCGTAACTTACAGATTAAGCAAGACAGAAAGAGGGGCAACGCCTCATGTGACTGGCGAGAGTTCCAAATCGGGTTATAAAGGTTCTAGACAAGGCGTTGGTTGTTGTGCCACTGTGGACTAAGGGTAAAGAGAAGGTAGTACCTCTCGAGCAATGCAAGTTGCTGACGACGTTGGTGCCACATCTCATGAGAGAGGAGATGCAGCAAATGTACCGTAAGGCTCAGTGGATCCCAGAGAGTAATGCACCAGGAGTTGAGAGAGCAGGCGCGTACAGGAGGGCGTTGATGATGAAGCGGGTCAAGAAGGAGCCAATACAAGTCCGATGGAGGAACCATCATCTGGTAGTAGAGGAACCGGCATGCAGCTGTCTGGATAGCGTAGAGGCGTGCTTATTACACTCTGGGGAGCGCTGATGTTAGAATCGCCCTTGAATGATTCGTCAAGTTCTCTAATGAGTGAGAGTGTAAACGCAGCGATTAGATCGACGGACCGCGCGAATCTCTTGGATTCGCAGCGCAATATGTAGGAAGTTCATTTAGTTAATAGTGCAGTGCAAGAGCAGGGGCTTAGCCTATCTTCCGCTGAAATGGGTTAATATTTGGCGATGGTTTGGGCAAGTGCCGCCGCAGCTATTGGTTTAATTCTTTCGTAGCGCTTTTAGCTAGAGGAGCCATTTTAGATTCTAATCATGACCGGTAAAACAAGCCAACACACGTGTCAGTCACGGTTGGACTTCCATCCAGCTAACTCTGAACTGCTAAAAGCTTAAAACCTCGGAGAACAACTCAAATTAACCGCTAATTAATTTGAACCTCCTTTAAATAAGCGGCGTAGCAAGGGAGAAACGCAAATGAACGCAGAACAACACTTAATTGTTGATAGCGATATGGAAGAGTCCTTAGACAAGAGCGTCGGGGCAAAAGATGCAACTAACTCGTTACAAATCACTCGTACCCTCGACGACGTTGTCAGAGAGACACGCGAGAACACTGAACCGCACAACAACATTAAGCGGTCAAGAGGAACGCGAACAGCGGGAACAGCCGGTGACGGAGTTTATCCAACTGAAGGAAGACTCCAGCATCGAAGCCAGGGACTAGCAAGCGCTAAAGGTTCCCGGGGAACAAATCTGATCGGATACATTTCATCAGACCAAGTATTGCTGTATATATTGCTATCGCTGCTCATGGGAAGTAGAGTGGGCGGCTACGGTTCAGTGGTGGGGAGCATAAAATGCCGTCACCGCTGTAGGTCGACATTTGAATGCTTTCATTGTAGAGCTGGAACGCTGGAGAAGGAGGGGGAAACAAACCATGGAGGAATCTGGAACGACAACAGCTGTGGACTGTAGTTATGAAGCGATTGGCTGCACGTCGGTTTTAAGCAAAATCGGTGGGGCAGTAATGGCATCGGCCAGCAAGCCTCCACTTGTCAGGCCAATGGCAGACCGTTGGAACCATTGGTACATAAAAAAAGAGTTCAAGGACTGAAATCATTTTCTCGATTCTGTTTTCTTTTTCTCTGTTGTGCTCAGGATGTTTTCCAGAGCGTCAGTACTCGCGGGTTCAAAATACGACGTTCGATTTTTTTAATGAAGATTCCTGCATCGTGTCATCAGATTCCTGGAGTATTTTTCCCCATTCTAGGCTTTCTTTGAATCTATTGACCAACTTCGTACTTTTCTCTCAGGGTTATACTGGTCTTGCACCCTCCTCTGTCTCCTGCTCACTTTGATTCACGATCAAACAGCGCGACATTGCACTGAAAAAACCCAAAGTATAAATATTTGCTGCACGGCTGTTGACTTGCCTATCTTCATGGTTTGTTTCTCTCTCTTCCTAAATCGCTCCACCGATACAGCTCTACAGGATTTATCACCATTTAAAAGGGAGAACATTCAAATGTCTGTATACAGCGTGCCACAAAACAATGCCGTGGATTTCTAAACCGTCTGGCATTCAAACATCCCGGAACTCATTCAAGCTTTCCAGCAAGTCTTTTCGAAGGGACACTCCAACGTCCACTCCAATGTCCAGTTGAATGTCCACTACAATGTCCACACCCCCCTCCAGCATATTTCGAAACCACGTTTTTCCGGCCAACTCAACTTCTCAGTCCGATTCAATCCGAAAGCATGATGGGACCACAACAATGCCTGCGAGCCTCATGGTTGACCCCAGTGAAGGAATTTGTGACAGTGGCATGAAAAAGGGAATATGTCGGGGTGGCGGGTGCAATGATAAATTACAAAACCGAGCACCTCATTGGGTGCCCTATAGAATGGAAGAACTTTGAGTGTTAGTGTCACTCAGGTAGCTCTCTTCATTTGAATCTCAGGAACTGGTCAAGGCGATCCAGCGACATCAACGAGGTAGAATCGACGATAGCCAAATATCGAATGTTTGCACACAAAAAGCAGCTTAGTTGGTGGGAGAAGGAAATAAAAGAGTTCGCAATAGAATGTTGAATTCAGGGACTCGGTCTGTGAGTCTTTGGGTTCCAAGGATGTGAAGGGACTTAAACGGGAGTATGGCTCGACTAAAGAGGATGACCCCCTGAGTGAAAATTTATCGGATTTCCAACGACGTGAAGGAGTGATGGAAACCACCCCCGAAACGTTGCGTCTCCTGGACTTCATCTCCAAGTGCTTCATCAGTGAATGCTTGTAGGAAGTCGAGTGCTTCAAAAATATCCTTTCTGTTAGGTTCACGGTAAGTTGCTTAGGGTTTCTAGGAGCTGGTTCAAGGAGCAAGAAAAAGGTATCAAAGCAGAAATCGAGCATTTTAACTCGTAAAGTGCTTGATGTGAAAAGTTGTTCGTCTAGGCAGCCAGCTTGTCTCGACGTCTCAAAACTGCTTCCATGCGCATGCAAAGTGTATATACTTACATAATTACCTCATTTTTTTCCCTTTTTTGCTGATTCTTTTTTTGAGTCTCAAAATTAAACCTTTTTTACCAACAAAAAACCCAAAGTCTTTTGGGTAATGATGTCCTCCGCCACTTTCGAGATTCTTTTCCCCTCTGGAGCTTGGTAGGGTACCTGTTAAAGCTGATTGCAAGCTTGAATCTATTTATTATGATCAAGCTGTTTCTCTTGTTGTGCAAGATCGTTCTGGTTGGACTTTATGTGTTTGGGGGTTTTATTATCCTCCTTTCGATTTGGGGGATCCAATACTTCGGCCCGATTCTTTACACGAAATCCCTGGATGCATGGTTCAACCTTGCCACCAATATTCATCAAACCTTCACCAACCTCCTTGAACTCTCAGACCACGCCACAATTGCAGCCATCGCCGCAATAACCATGATTACGATTGCTCAGTCTGGTACGGGCAACGATTAAATCATGATGCTGCAACCAAGCGCATTCACAGATACTTGCTCAAATACGTAGGAATCAAGAAGGTCTCAGCAAGCGCAGCAATTCGTAAATCACTAAAAGAGGTGGTACCAAAGTGCTCGAAGAAGTTTGTTCGCGCAACAAGGAAACTTCAAAGTGCTTCACATCTATAGAAGAAAGAAAGGAATGAAAGAGCCAAGCGAACACCGCATTCGTCAGTGGTTAAATAAATTTTCTGCTTAGTCTACATCATCTTTCGTCTCTAGTCTTTAATGTTTCGTCTTCATCGTCTTTGCTGCTCAGCCAGCATGTGTTCACTTAGCCAGTCATGTCAATGAGCAGTTAGCCAGTCATGAAAATGAGCTGCATAACAAAATGAACTATGACTCTTTGCAATTTTTCGCGTCGAACGATAGGTCGAACGACTGTCTGACACGCACTTGGGCGTGAGAACATCTTGCATGCTTGTATCTTCTTGAATACATATGGAAGACATGCCAAACTTGTCACCACTCACTTTAGTACCTCAAACCTAGAGGTCTTGCTCAGATAGCCAGTCATGAAAGTGAGCTGCTCAGTTAGCCAGTCATGACAATGAAGTGAGTATAATTCAACAATTCTGCTCCATGTGTCTCAGTTCGCTCCATGGAACGAAAAACAGGTTCAAGGAGCCGTTGTCGCTACCAGGAGAGTGCCTGGTCGTGATATCAGTCAGTGACATGCAGGTTGGAGGCGGATCTCGAGACGAGATAACAGCTAGCTTGAAGCCCCGGTGCACTGCACAACGCATCCCCCCATAGTCGACCGACTCAAACTAGGTTGCCTTTTCTGTTCTCTCGTTTTCCTCATACACCACCGCGAACAGACACAACCTTTTTTTTCTGAACGTCTTTCGCACTGAGAATGACATCAAGTGAGGCTGAGCTGCACTTCAGGACCACTCCAGTGAGTGGCTGGTGGAGTTTAATGCTTTATGAGGTGGGGTGACGTAGCAGCCTAGGTACTCCTAGAAAACATCACATATGCTCTACGTGTACTTCGCGTCTCCTCTGTGTTCCAGCGTCAACCTTAATTCACATGGAGTGCAATTCTCTCTCACTGAAGCAATGGCAGTGCAATTCTCTCTCACTGAAGCAATGGGAGTGCAATTCTCTCGGAGTGCAGCAATGGGAGTGCAATTCTCTCGGAGTGCAGCAGTGCAATTCTCTTTGGCTCTGATGACGATGACTCAGAAAATCGCCTTAACTTCAGTTGGATTGGTTGCTGTTGTAGCTCACGTAATTCACACAATCAACCTGAGGAGTCGAAACACGTTTCCATCAGTCAGTTCTTCTTCGCTCAATGGAAGAGATGAGCAGGAACTTGAGTTGATTGTCTTGCATGCTATTAAAGTGACGCAATCAATATTTGTATTCAAGTTCATTGAAATTTCCAGATGCACTCACTCACCACTAAAAATACATTAAAAACGGTTTACCCCCTTCATCATCATAAGAAAAAGACTCTAGTTTGTGACAGGTCAATTAGCCCTTTCAGCCAGGTTAATAATTCTGCCATCTACAAGGCAGCTGAGCTTACAGATGCCATTTTCCTGAAACATACATTCTTCATACATGATCTGAAGTCCAACACTCACCCCCATCGTCATTCCGCAGCAATGTTGCTGTTGATCTTCGCTCATTGCTTTGAACGTATCAACGCGACGAAGTGTCTATCAGAAAAGAGTCATTTAGCAGAGAACGACAATGAGCTCAGCGTGTACGGTTTCTATTGATGTTAACGCATGCAAGGGATATGGAATCATCCCATGTTGAAAGAATGCATCGATACTTGGGAACGTACTGATGTGTTGCGAGGTTTTCTTAAACCGCTCGCCATTGCAGCAAGAGAGAAACTATTTTGGACCATCGTGGGAAGATTAGGAGTCGATTCAGAATCCATCACAACCTTCAAGCCCTTCAGACAGTCATATCCATCCTTACCATCCTGTAATCAAAAGAAGAATCGAATATATACTCATAACATACATACCCACATATAAAAAATCTATATATACACATATGAACTAGATCTATATACACATATCAACTAGATCTATATACACATATGAACTAGATCTATATATATACATGTGTACTAGAGCTATATATAGACATATATAAGAGATCTACATATACACAAAATGCATATATGTGTATGTACTATATAATGGAGATCCATCTCACCGCAAGATACGCTTTCGTACAAATTCGAACAATCTCCGTTTCATCGAGTGAACGGAAAACGAATCTTCCCGTAGTTGGATCAACAACTTCGCGATCAATGGAAGTGACGCGACTACCGACAGGCTGACGAGGATCAAATTGAAATCGGAAACCGGAAATCTACGGAAGAGTAAAGGAAGAGAAATCCAAAAGTCGCCCTTAATGATTTCCTGTGATACTCGGATGTCATGCGTACCTGAAGGAAGCGTCCCTCCGTTTTCGGAAATTGGGACACAGAGACTTCCATCATCTGCTTCAAAACAGATCCTGGCGCTTCAAGAACGACAAGTTCGTCTGGCATCGGAAGCATCGCAACCTGCGAAAGAATAGGAGGTTTTGGAAAACGTTGGAATCTGCAGCAAGTATCTTCATGACTTACAAGATCTCGTATGCATAATGTTCCCGGCTGAAAGATGCAATCGGATCGAACAGTCCCAGAGTTAAGACAGGCAACATCAGCCCTTGTGTTAACTTTCATCAAATCAGCCAACCAGTTGCCACAGTTTGTTTCTTGTGTGCGAATAATTGGAAACCGAGTTTCTAAGGGAACGCGATTCTCCCCCAATGGCTTTCCCATATGGCGACCCAGCTCAGCGATATACTTATCCACAAGTTTATCAACATGACGATTCGCAGCAAATGTCGATTGATTCACCGTAATGCATTCCCATTCAACAATGGACCCCCCGCAAAATCTGAAAATCTCAGGAACAGCAAATGAATACTGGCTGATGTCGAACGTGGCGTACCGTGGCATCAAGTACGCACCACCAGATCGATCGCCTGAAACGAGATGTTGTGACGTCGCACTGTCGCTGCGAAGGCGGCTCGACGTTTTAACTCCAGGATAGATCGTCAGCGCAGAAAACTCCCGGAAATCTGTTCCACTTTTACAAACAATACTGTTTCCTAAACGGGCAGGAATTGAATCAATTGCTTGGTAACACTTTCTCACCAATTTGCGTTCCTCCAAAATATTCATGATCGTGCCCTCCAAGGATTAGATCAATATCTTCAGCCTCGCGCGCAAGTCTTTCATCGTTTGGTGCTCTCATATGAGTTAATGCAATAATTAATTCACATTCCTTGGATCGAAGTAATTTTGATAATCTGAAAAAACAAACAAAAATAAAATGGAAAGTAAGTTCGGAGAATCAAAATGCAAAAATATCATTCCACAGCGAATACCTCAACAATCTTTGTTCCTACTTGTTTGCTGCGACAACGTAATCTTCGTAGATAATATCCTCCTCATTGACTTGAGACAATGTTTTTGTCCATTCCTGCATTGCCCAAAATGGAAAATGAGCGTGTGTATCTCTCAATTTACCTCTTCTACGAGTCCAATCATTCCGATGCGATGTCCCTGCCATTCGAATAATCGATATAAATTTGCACCAGCCAATGGGCGATCAGAGTTATAAGCATCAAAAATGTTTGACAATAACCTGCAAACCATCATCAATTGACGTGTGGACTTCAATTAAACATAACACACCAAGGGAATCGTGTTGATCCCATGAGATACTCAAGATGATCAACGCCGAAATCGAGATCATGATTTCCAACACAAGCAGTATGAATTTTAAGCATATTCAGAAAAGGGACCTATTAAAGAATAAAAAATGAGCATGTGAAAAAAACGCACGGCACCAAAGATGCAACTAGAAAGTCGAATGCTTGGCATGTGGCCAGAAACGTCCAAATTGGTCTTACCATGTGTCTTCCTTTTGTGTACGTCGACACGAAAGAGGGATTGAAAGCATCGCCAGAAAAAAGAATAAGAGGATTTGAGTCAGCAAATTGTCGCAGGGCTGTTATGAAGCGAGAAATTCCACCGTTTCCATCAGATTGTGATTCAATATTATAAACATCTGAGAAACACAAAATGGGACAATGATGGATATCGAACTACAAAATGGGACAATGATGTCGAAAGGAATAAAATGAGAAGCACACACCATCTACTCGTACCATTAAAATGAATGATAACAATGGGATGATCTGGATCGAGTCCCTTATCATAATCATAATATGTTTCGCCTGTAAATCCAAATGAGCAAACTTCTCTGAATGCTGTTGTTGGATATTGCTTCAACACAATTGACCCTTTACGCTTGTACTCGGATGCAACAGAAGATTCGACGGAGGGACTAGGCGCCACGAATGGGGATGCCGTTTCTTCATCTGGGAAATGAGAGAGTTTGTGTGCAGACGTGGAGGTTCAAAAGATCTAAAGTGCAAGCGTCACTCATTCGACGCATTTGTTGTAAAAACGACTCATTCGAAATGTTCTTTATTACCTTCGGGAATGGTTTCGATATTCGGAGAGGCTTTGGACATTTCTCAAGAAAGCAGGACCCGCGAAGATGTCCTAGTCCCTCTGATGTAAGCATGCGTTATGCGACCTGGTCCTTTGAAGCTTTAAAGCCATCGACGAGGAAATCACAGAAGTCGAAATCCCCAGACGAACTCGCCGTTTTGTTATCGACACGGAAACTATAGAGGGCTGCGCTTTTTTGGTCTATCGATTTAGGGAACAAGGCTGTCTGTTGTAACATACAAGATTTGTCACTCGAGAATCCACTATCGACAAATTTACTCTTGTGGGACTTTGGGATCCTCACCAGTTTCCGCTAATGGCAGGCAATCCGAGCTCAACACGAACTGGTTCGACGGGATTTCGCCATCCATCGCTCGAAGCACTTCCTGATTTTGAGTTATTGACTGATTATTATCCCTCCGCGTTATTTGTGGCGAATGAGGACTCAAGATGGACTTGTGAATTGGAATTTTGTATTGAAGATTTTTTGAGCAAGAAATGTGCAACTGGTCCCGTGATGTCGTTCGGTAAAAATCTTCAATGCCAAGCCACGATCAAAGCAAAAGGTACTTCAACCTTTATAAGCATCGCATCCATGATCATGAGGGTGGCCCCACATCGGCCCTGATTGTAACTGACTCACAGTCGATAGATTTGTGACGTTTTTAACGTTTCTAAATGATTTTTTCTTCAGGCTTCGATTCTGATGAGTCGCCGACTAAAAAACATCGCAAACAGCGTTCTGGCTCATCCACGCAAATCGCTGTCGTCATTAGCGTTAGTCCTTCACCAGCAGCAATCCGCGAATGTCCGTTCTGTTGCAATCCCGTCGACTTTCGACAACCAAGTTCACAATCAGGGAAAACGGCCCCCCAGATACAACCGTCCAATTTGAGAGCGACCCTGCGCCTATCCGTAACAATCAAATGTCACTCGATGGTCAACAACGCTCCTCCATCGGAATTTGTGTCTGTAGAACGTCTGGTGGATTTGGATTCGTGTGTCAGGCCCTTCGATGGGTCGTTCCTGTAGTCTTCTATGAAGTAACACTAATCAACTTCTATGATCCAAATGGGAGTTTAGTGAAGTGGGGGTTGACGTCTTTGTCCCACTTAACGCCATCTACAGTGAGCCCACCATCACACTTTTCAATGCGACACTCTGCGGCCCCCAGGTGATAAAAGATTTCGCACCTCGGAATCTTGTACAAAGAGGATATTTAGCCAAGAAGGATACTGCGTTGCTAAAAAATTCGACTCTATTCCCGTTTTGATGATCCAAGTTTTCGCGTTAGTCCGGCTTGGTTCCATCAGAAACCAAAACCCGTTGTCGAACGACGAAAAGAAAAACGAGTCGCTGATGAAACGACAAAAGCGAATGAGAAGGTTGTTAAATGGTTAAGCGATAGTCTTGAGCTTCGAGCTGTTGAAGGCTCCGGTGATCTCCCCTCTCCTGATTCGCCAAAATCTTCTAAGGATTTTTCTGACACCAATGGAATTGAGGTCAGTGAGCCTGGTGGTGACGATTCGCACGCAGCATCGATGAGTGAGGAGTCAGGCTCTGAATCTAGCGATATCAAATGTCGACTATCGGACGCGTCAAGTCAACTTTTTTGTATACCCCGTCACCATCATTTACATTTCCATGACATTCCTCCTCATCTTAAGATCTATCAACATTTTGGACAAATTATGGAAATCCCCTTAGAGACGCCAATCCGTCCGCCTTCACGACAAAAACAGCGAGATGTCCATCAACCTCCGAAACCAGCGAGACTCCGACCGCCTGGAGCTTCTCATGATTGGAGAGCGTTTGAACCGATTTTTCATCCAATAATACGGATGGACTTTCTCGCGTTATGGCAGAGTGTCTTCCTTTTGACTACGCGGATGTCTTTCAAGCAATTCTTCGTGTTAATCAAAAGAAAGCTCGACAAGACGTTGAGTCAATAGCATCTGACAAAAAAGGCGACAATCAAACGGCAGAGGAGGAATCGCTGCATTGGGAAAGGATCCTAGTTTTTCCTCTCAATCTTCCACCCGTCATTGAAATCATTTGTTACACTGGCGACTCAGAAGACGATGAAACGAAAGACTCTCATCACGTCACTCTTTTTTCATCTTCCGAAACGAAACGACGACGACGCGATTCGGTCGTCTCCGGAGGCGATGAAGGAGGACTTCCATCAAGTTGTATTTTTTGTTGAAGCGAAAACGACAAATGTTCTATTAGCGGTCTTGATGAAGAGAATCATTGGAAATTGTCGCGAATCCCCCGTGGCTCATATTTCCCGTTATAATATGTACATTTTAGTCCGCTTAATTACTGCAATTGCTGGATTTGGAAGCATTAATGAATAACAAATGTTCAAATGTGGTTGCATCGGGTCTGCCTGCAATTGTTGAAGCCTTCCATCATTGTTACGAAATCGCTGGTCGGAAAATGGTTGAAACACAAAGAAGAACGACATTCCATTACAAGCGCTATTTGACTCAACTGAAGATTCAACGACAGCTTCGCTTGCAGCATCTCTCCTCCCCGTATTTGACTGTCGGGTCTGATACCAAGTCCATCCGTAGCTGTTCAACTGAAAGAACCCCTTCATTAGAAATGTGCCTTTCTTTTGGAAAGCCAGAGATGACGCCGTTGAAGGTACCAAATAGCGAAAAGTCTGGAGACGACAAAACCGAAACATCCAAGCCAGAGAGGAATTCAAGAAACTCCAAAGCCGAAGAGACGGAAACTACTTCGTTACGTTCCCTTGCATGGCTGGAGATCGTGGCTCGTGAAAAATGCAACACCTGAAATTGAAGAAGATAAAACCAAGCGAGTGGGAAAAAACGATCAAAAGAAACAGGGAAGGCGAAAATATGAAGAATTGAAAAAAGAGTTGATTAATGAAGAACAAAGTGAAAGGCGGAAAAAGAAGAAAAAAGGGAAGACACTCTAAGCATCCTTCAAATTCAAACACCCCAGAAACAACTCATGCCTTTCATAGTTTATTAAATGTTGTGCTTCATCAAGTCGAAAGAGTGGAAGGAATCAATAGTGGTGATCAAACTTCTGATGGTCGATTATCCACCCGACTCAATTGTCGAGTGACGCGTCGGCATTCAGATCTTGGGGCACTCAACTTGCAACGGATCGGTTTATCTCGACATTCCCGCCAGGCGCGCAACGCTTGAAAACTCCTTCGATTCTTCCTAACTCTACTTTCTCAAAGATTGTCCTCCATCGTTTGTCCGTTCGCACCTTCCAGGGCCACTCGAATCGTCCTCAGCAGTCCGCTTGGATTCTGGAAGAAAAGCGTTGGGATTTCTCGGTCGAAGTTGTGTATCGCGTTCAGAAATGCGTCTGAGGCCATCAGCACTTCTGTACGGCTTCGTCCAAGCAAGACGGGAAAGATTGAATCGAAAATTGGCAGATGAGATGATGAAACGAGTTTCCGAATGGCTTGTGACTGGAACGAGGAAGGAAGTTCCCTATCAAATAGGCACAACTCGAAAAACTGAAGCGGAACGTTTAGAAGAAAAAGTAACGATGCCAGCGGAATGGCCTACAACTAGTCAAAAACTTGCTGATGAAGATAACAACGGCGATGAAGCACAACGCAGTGGAAGCGCCGATGAACGCTCGGATAACGGAAGCGACGATTATCATCCAGCGTATTTCAGTCGCTATGTCCGTTCGAAACGGATGAAACGGGCAAGACGTGCTAATCCTGAAGCTGGGAGGGATCCTCAGTTTTGACAGGGTTGGCCTGCCATGAATTGTTAGGAATGCAAAGAGTTCGCTGTGTGTTTGAGGTGCGTGATTGGGCACTAGGCGTCATTGGACAAACGTTCGTCCCTGAAGTCTCTTTGGTTCGTAGTTTGATCTCTTTTTCATTTGTTGAAGCATTCATTTTGGTTTCTTTTTATTTTGTTTCTTCTCATTTTTGTTTGTAGATTCAGGAAGTTACTCAATATCAATTGCTAACAGAAGAACAAAAGGAGGAATATCGGAATGAACTCCAGGAATGTTGTCAACATCATGAGGATGATGATTCACGCCGATGTCGTCATGGACGTAGACGTCATAATGGCATGCGATTTGAGGATCCTGAATCAGAGAGTAGCAATGGATCAGATGATGGAGAAGAATTAAGTTGGGATGGCGATCGTGAGGCTTTTGAGGAAAAACGCTGTTTGCTGCAATTACCTCTTCCTCTTGGTCGTAACGATAGAAGTTTAGAAGAAGTTATTTTTGATCATCTCGCTGAGCACACATCATTAGGTAAATCCGTTTTCCAATCATATTTCTCTTTCCAATCATATTTCTCTTTCCAATCATATTTCTCTTTCCAATCATATTTCTCTTTCCAATCATATTTCTCTTTCCAATCATATTTCTCTTTCCAATCATATTTCTCTTTCCAATCATATTTTTCTTTTTCCTAACTGCTTTGTTTCAGATCATCCCACCCAGCAGCATGGCGTTCAGGATATTCGCTTATGCCGCGAGTTTAGTCAAGCACCCCCAGTAATGACATTCACATTTCAGCACCCTGGGGGTATTTATCAACCTACTGATACATTTACAATTCCTGATGTGTAAGTTTGATATTGGATTCGAATAGAATATCGAAATAATTGTCATCATCATCCGTTTCTAATTATTCGTTTTTGACGTAGGATTGATATGTCGGAGTATATCACAGAACCTGGAAGCTCAAATACTCCAGAAACCAAAAACGGTATAAACGGAGGTTCCAACGCAGGAAGACGCTTCCACAGACAACGATACTTCAACCCCAACAGATTGCAGCCAATCAGCCAATAAAACTGAAGCAAAACCACCAACAAGGACATCAATGCTCCTTTTCTGTACGCCTGTATAGCGTTTTGGCAGCCTGCCCTGAAGATTCTTCTGGTATGTTTTGCTCAGTTTTTGTCTTCTAGTCGCTTATTCCCTCTTTTTT